GGGGTATGTCAGTTCTGAGGTTACAGGGGTATGTCAGTTCTGAGGTTACAGGGGTATACCAGTTCTGAGGTTAGAGGGATATGTCAGTTCTGAGGTTACAGGGGTATACCAGTTCTGAGGTTACAGGGGTATGTCAGTTCTGAGGTTACAGGGGTATACCAGTTCTGAGGTTACAGGGGTATATCAGTTCTGAGGTTACAGGGGTATGTCAGTTCAGAGGTTACAGGGGTATACCAGTTCTGAGGTTACAGGGGTATGTCAGTTCTGAGGTTACAGGGGTATGTCAGTTCTGAGGTTACAGGGGTATGTCTGTTCTGAGGTTACAGGGGTATGTCAGTTCTGAGGTTACAGGGGTATGTCAGTTCTGAGGTTACAGGGGTATGTCAGTTCTGAGGTTAGAAGGATATGTCAGTTCTGAGGTTACAGGGGTATACCAGTTCTGAGGTTACAGGGGTATGTCAGTTCTGAGGTTACAGGGGTATGTCAGTTCTGAGGTTACAGGGGTATGTCAGTTCTGAGGTTACAGGGGTATACCAGTTCTGAGGTTAGAGGGGTATGTCAGTTCTGAGGTTACATGGGTATACCAGTTCTGAGGTTACAGGGGTATGTCAGTTCTGAGGTTACAGGGGTATGTCGGTTCTGAGGTTACAGGGGTATGTCAGTTCTGAGGTTACAGGGGTATACCAGTTCTGAGGTTACAGGGGTATGTCTGTTCTGAGGTTACAGGGGTATGTCAGTTCTGAGGTTAGAGGGGTATGTCAGTTCTGAGGTTACAGGGGTATGTCAGTTCTGAGGTTACAGGGGTATGTCGGTTCTGAGGTTACAGGGGTATGTCAGTTCTGAGGTTACAGGGGTATGTCAGTTCTGAGGTTACAGGGGTATACCAGTTCTGAGGTTACAGGGGTATGTCAGTTCTGAGGTTACAGGGGTATACCAGTTCTGAGGTTAGAGGGGTATGTCAGTTCTGAGGTTACAGGGGTATACCAGTTCTGAGGTTACAGGGGTATGTCAGTTCTGAGGTTACAGGGGTATGTCAGTTCTGAGGTTACAGGGGTATGTCAGTTCTGAGGTTATAGGGGTATACCAGTTCTGAGGTTACAGGGGTATACCAGTTCTGAGAGTGAAGGGATATATCAGTTCAGTTCTAAAGATGTAGGACTATATCAGTTCTAAAGGTGCAGGGGTATACCAGTTCTAAGGATGAAAGGGTGTACCAGTTCCAAGGGTGCAGGGGTATATCAATTCTAAGGGTGCACTGATGTCCCCCGCCGTGATATTGCTGGAATATTGCTAAAAGTGGCGTACAACTAAACTCACTCACTCCCTCTAAGGGTGCAGGTGTCTATCAGTTCTAAGGGTGCACCCATTTCTGACGTCCCCCGGGGTGATATTGCTGGAATATTGCTAAATCTGGCGTAAAACTAAACTCACGCACTCACTCCCTCTGAGGGTGCAGGTGTATATCAGTTCTAAGGGTGCATGAATACACCATTTTTAAAGGTGCAGGGGTATATCAGTTCTGAGGGTGAAGGTGTATTCTCAGTTTTGGGGATGCAGGGGTATGTCAGTCTTAAGGTTGAACGGATATATCAGTTCTAAGGATGCAGGGATACATCAGTTCTGAGGATGAAGCGATATATCAGTTTTGAAGGTGCAGGGTTATTTCAGTTCTAAGGGTACATGGATATATCATTTCTTAGTGGCGCGGGATCATGTGAGTTCTAAGGGCGGGGGATCATGTGAGTTCTAATCGTGAAGGGATATATCAGGTTTAAAGGTGCAGGGATATATCAGTTCTCTGTTTCTGTTGTAGACAGAAGGTACGCGTCCTGGTTTGAGGTTGAAGTGATTTCTCTCATGCTGAGACGCTGCATAGAAATTGTTCATACATTTGCTTGCAAGCTTTTTAGTTGTCCGACTGGGAATATATGCGGTAACTTTTTTGTATTACCGTATATGTATCTATATTTGTGTAAGTTGTTGTAAACTGAGCAGTGAGCTCTACTCTAGTGTTAATCTCTGCTTATTGGGTGTGTCCACGGGCATTTAACATTGAAATGTGTATCTGTGATGATCAATCAGATGCAAAGCCGAGATGAAGACGGATTGTCTATTCTTGATTGGCTAGCTTGAAATTGTCAGTGCTCCTCTTTGTAGTCCCTTGTTACGCCACTGCACTTTCACGGACACTTCACACTGCGCTTGGAAAAAGACAACTTAATATATAGGTAAGTCTTAAAAGTTAGTACATTCTGTATTCTGTTCTGTTTATGCAAGTGGAATATTGAAATCGATGTAGTTAAAATGTCTGTCTGTCATTAATGGTACTTAAACACGTCACCTGTACCAGTACACGTGTTTGTGTGTATGGGAGGGTGTATGTGCAGTAGATATATGACAATGTGGGCATGTCGGTTTATTCCCATAAGAACTACACCCCATTTGAACTACATCCCAAATTAACTACAGGGATTAATTAGACAGACAGACAGACAGACAATTTATTTCAATTATTCAAGGCCATGGCCCATATTACAAAAGGGTTTTAACAGGTGTATTCATGCTGGTCATATTACAGGTATCTTGTCACCGGACGAGACCAAAAAAAGTTCTCGTAAAATAACAACAGAGATGCTACACTAAACTATCACACAATATTTCAGCATATATACTGAAGATCTAATTATTATTTGTTGTATTTCTTATCCTAAAGACTTTATATAAAAACCTTGCCAAACTTAATATTACAATCTTGTCAGTGCTTGACATAATTCTAACCAAATTGTCCAGAGAAGTGCTATTTCTTATGCTTTTATGAAGACATTCTCTTCTTTCGGCTTCATAACGCTGACAGATCATCAAGACATGAAATTCATCTTCAACAAGAAATAAAATTTTACTATGACTATATAAGCAAAATCTTTCACTAGCAGTTAAATTGCAATGCCTTCCTGTTTCAATTGCTAGCCTGAAATTATTACACCTGAATTTACAGATAACAGTTCTTAAATGCTGTGGAATGTCAATTGAAAGATTAGACTCAACATGTAACATTGTTTTAAATTGACAATAAGTTTGACACTTGCTCAAGTGTGACGTAATACAGTGCCATTCCTGGCTCAAGGAGTCAAACAATCGCTGTATAAAAATAGAAATAACCATTTTCACATTGCCAATATCTTGACATATCCACACAATTCCGAAACCGAATTGAAAAAATTGTTTCTCACATGAGAGGCCCAAATAGTTCTACGACCGCCTCCATGGTGTAGTGGTTAGAGCGTCCGCCCGGAGAGCGGAAGGTCGCGGGTTCGATCCCCGGCCGCGTCATACCAAAAGACGTTAAAATATGGTACTTGTTGGTTCCTGCCTGGCGCTCGGCATTAATGGGTACAACAAGGACTGGTCGGCTCGGAGTCAGTATAATGTGTCTGAGTGGGATATTCATGCTTCACTGCGGCATGGTATATCAGTGGGCTAGCACTATAAAACCAGCTTCAGTCTGGCTAGTACAAGCAGCCGCACATACACATACACACACATGCACGTCGTCATATGAGCGAAATATTCTCAAGCACAACGTTAAGCCCAATTTCACCTCACTTCACCCAAGTAATTCTACCCACATCATCAAGGTTTTTAAGCATTAAGTAAGACTGACAAGGTAAACGATTATAATCAAATTGAATTATTCTACACCAATATTTTATTAGTTATAACATAGAGTTATACTGAAGTGGTACTCTACCACATTCACCAAGTGCTATAACATCACATGTATGTAACCTTAATATTTGCTTGCAGAAGCTAGTTTGTACTCTTTCAATGGTTTTACAATAGTGGGTACCCCAAACATTAGCTCCATATGAAATAATTGGAACAATAACTGTATCAAATATCTTGAAGGCATCAGTACAAGAGACAAAACCATGCTTTCTTTGATAATTATATAATGACATCAGTGCCTTGTTAGCCTGAGCTGCTAAACAGCTTTGTGCCTTAGACCATGACAAGGTTGGTGTGAAGACAAACCCAAGATACCTATAATTATTAACAACATCAATTTTCTTACCTTTAAAGTACCATTTCTCGTAACTTTTTAGAGGACCACCTCTTCGGAATACCATTATCGTAGTTTTTTGTATGTTTACCTTCATACCAGTTGCTGCACAAAATTGTTCTAAAACATTTATTTTTCTTTGTAGATTGATAACAGAATCAGATACCCCTGATACATCATCAGCAAAGAATAATGCTACAATATTTGGATGTTCTTGTGAAACAGATATACCATTACCTCCTTTCTCTTCGAGCATTACAGACAATTGGTTTATAAAGATAACGAATATAAGAGGACTCATAATACACCCCTGACGGGTTCCAATATTACACTTTAAGTACTCTGTTAATCCACCATCTGTTCTTACACAGCATGATAAAGATGAATACATAGAGACAATAAAATCAAGAAATTTACCTTGTACACCTATATTGTATAAAGTTTTAAACAGAACATTGTGGTTTACACAATCAAACGCTTTACTAAAATCTATAAAAATGCAGTAGAATCTTTCTTTTTCTTGGATATGTATTTCTGATTCATTGCTTGCAAAGTAAATACCTGATCGATAGTGGAGTAACCAGGCCTGAAACCTGCCTGGAGTTCGGAGATGACATGGTTAATTAGGGATTAATTATCTGAGTAGAGGCACCCCCGTGGCAAGTAATGAGCACAACCCATCAGCTCTCGCATGCTTAAAATCCTATTGACCAGTAATTATGTTGTTGTAAAGGTAATCCAATAACCAGAAAGTAAAGGACAAGAGTTGTTGTAGTTGTTGTAGTTAGTGAATGTTCTTGTATTCATATGATAAAAAAAACAACCTTAGTATATTGGTAAAGGTAAAGGTATATTGGAGTAAAGGTGAAATATCAACGAATGAGTTTTTAAGTTAAAATAGTATTATTATAGACTGCAATCCAGTATTTGGATGCAGTTGGCTACTTATTGAAGCTAGGCCAAACCGGATTCTACATGGATCAGACTGAACACTGAGGATGAAGGTGACACTAAATTATCACACTAAATGTATAAGCCTATTTATAGATGAACTATCTATATATCTATATATAAAACTCTTTATCTGCACAAAACCTTTAGCAGTTCAACGGCTCTTCATGTGTACAAAGAAAACTAAGTGTCGTCATAGGCGACGCAAAACAGTAGTAGCTATATCATCATCATGCGTATGATGTTACAGTTAGTGCCAATAGGTAATATGTAATAGATATATAAGACATATCTTCCCAGGTAGTTAAAAATACTGTTCATAAAGCAGTAAAAGTTCCAAGAGGGACACTTATGAAAACAAAAGAAACAAATACAGATCGAGATGGACATTCTTCGATTTGTTTGTACCTACGATCCTAATAACTGTACAATTATGCCCATTATAAAAGCAAATCTTCCAATTTTGTATAAACGTGATACTACGAAAAAAGGTTTATCAGTCAGTGTAACAAAATGTCAAACACCTCGATGTGGAACTTGTTCAATCATAACTGAAGACTGCAAATTTACATTTTGTGAAGGCAAAAGTGTTTCAGTTCTGATTATGGGCTGTGCTGATGAATAGTCTCTCAGAACATACACAATATAGACGGAAACAAACAAATACATTAATTCGCATCCCTGTGTAGGTTTACTCGACTTAAACCCTTTGCTAAAAAGCAAATCTATTTTGTAGGATAAAGGTTAGGGTACAGAGAACGGTGACACAAATATAAGCCATAATTATTTTCAATGATTATGAAAATGTCTTTGGAAAGACTTAGCATTTTAGTTGCTATCGAACATGTTTTTTTCCTTTTCATACATTTTGATTTATAAACATTTAATAATTTTGTGTAATGCCTTTGAAACAACATATGTATTATGTTTGTGGTCGTGCAGTGGTAGTGGTGTAACGTGTAGTATATGTTGTGGGCTTCAGGGAGTGTTAGTGGGGTTGTTCCATTCAGTGGGCAGGCGCGCCACATAGGTTGCAAAGCTTTACATTTAGATAGTATTACGGGCGTGCCCAACTTTCATTGCCAATAGCATGTGTAAGCCCGGGCTTTTATTTAATGGTAGCTATGCCCCTGGTGGATGGTGGTGGTGGTGTATAGTGTACTGGTGTTACTGCAGTCTCTCGCAGGGGTGCTGGTGGTGTATAGTGTATTGGTGTTACTGCAGTCTCTCGCGGGGCTGCTGGTGCTGAGGTGAGGTGTCGTGTAGTGGTGGTGGTGGTGTATAGTGTACTGGTGTTACTGCAGTCTCTCGCAGGGGTGCTGGTGGTAAGATGAGGTGTCGTGTAGTGGTAATGGTGCACTCTCATGAAGTGATTTGTGGTTTCTTGTTGACTGTCGGTGGTGAGGTGTCATACAGTGGTGGTGTATAGTGTATTGGTGTTACCGCAGTCTCTCGCAGGGCTGCTGGTGCTGAGGTGAGGTGTCGTGTAGCGGTGGTGGTGGTGTATAGTGTACTGGTGTTACTGCAGTCTCGCAGGGGTCCTGGTGCTGAGGTGAGGTGTCGTAGTGGTAATGGTGCGCTCTCATGAAGTGATTTTGGTTTCTGTCTGTCGGTGGTGAGGTGTCATACAGTGGTTGTGTATAGTGTATTGGTGTTAATGCAGTCTCTCGCAGGGGTCCTGGTGCTGAGGTGAGATGTCGTGTAGTGGTGGTGGTGGTGTATAGTGTACTGGTGTTGCACTGCAGTGCTGGTCGCAGGGGTGCTGGTGGTAAGATGAGGTGTCGTGGTGGTGGTGGTGTATGGTGTACACTGGTGTTACTGCAGTCTCTCGCAGGGGTGCTGAAGTAAGATTTCGTGGTTAATGGTTTCTTGTTGACTGTCGGTGGTGAGGTGTCATACAGTGGTGGTGTATAGTGTATTGGTGTTACCGCAGTCTCTCGCAGGGCTGCTGGTGCTGAGGTGAGGTGTCGTGTAGCGGTGGTGGTGGTGTATAGTGTACTGGTGTTACTGCAGTCTGACGCAGGGCAGCTGTAGTCCAGGAGGAGGCAGCGGAAAAAATTCAAATCGTAGCCTCCCCAGTACTGATTTTGTTTGACACTATTTTCAGTTAGTATGATGTCTTGGGCTCATGAAAAGGCCTGTAATACTCTCAGATTGTGGTATCAGGGTTTTTTTACAGGCCATTATATGTGGTGGGGGTCTGCGAGCATTTTCATCACATTTGGTTTGCTGCCCGACAACACCTCAAAGTTAATCATTAATAGTTTTACTACTATCAATCTGATCACTTTCATTTTGACCTCTGTGTACTGCTAAAGGATGTAGAAATTATTTGACATAATTTTGTTTTGAAAAAAAAAATCAAAATAATTTTGTTTTGTCGTGTTTTGCCTTCTCAGCACTTAAATTTACATAACAATGAACACCGAATGTTTCCATTTACATCCAAAGTTGATACTTTTGATGTGTTTTTACACTTATTTCTCCTAGAGTGATGGCTTGGGCACAAAACAAGTCATTTTGTATGGTCATAGCATGGTAATTTAATGTTTTACAGCTTATTCTTTGAGACAGGGGTATTTTTGCAATTCTCCGACTTTTCATGGAAATGTGTGAGGGTGATTTATTTAATGGCAGTTAACATTATTTTTGTTCCTAAAACAAGTTGTTTTTGTTTTCTCTTAACTTCTAGAGTGACGGCATGTTATTAGGAATGTTTACATATTACCCAGAATTCAAAATGGCCACCAAAATGGCCGCCATTGTAGTTTAACTACATATACTTATTGGAGGACTAAATTTGTACTGATATAAAATCCAAACAACTCATATGGTGTCTAATGTTTAATACAGTATAGGAATAGAGCTAAATTTCAATGATAGGGTCAATCAAAGCTTCACACTTCTAAAATATTTGATCAAATAACATGATCAAAAAGTGTTTGAAAACTATGCTTCATGGCCGATAACTACGTCTAAGCTTTGGTTGTAGGTATTCAAATTGTTCTATCAGATAACTCTTAATCACTTTTGATACATCCATAAGCTTGCAATTAACCCTCCTTTTCACTTTCTTTCTTTCATATGTTACTTCATGTCAGACGGGGTGAACGGGCAATTTTACCCACCCTAAACGTAACACCAACTGTCTGGGGACGGGGTAAAGACGAGACAGACGTACTGAGAACTGTTTATGATCAAACTAGCATTGTAATTTATACAAAAGTTACACGTTCTATCCCGTTCGAGCTCACTTTACAGTTATTGTTTGGACAGGGCAGGGCGTCCAAAGAACTACATTGGTGTGACAGGCTTTACCAACAGGTAGCATGGCTGGACCAACAGAACACCATCGTTCGTTCATACATGCTACAAGACTAGACTTGTTGACATGACTGCTAATGGGTTTGTCCCATTGTCTTGGCAGTGGTTTGTTTTTGCCAACAATCTTGACTTCTCGCGCCGCTGGCGATCCTCTTTTGATTTGCTCCCCTGCTTTGATTGCCTCTTGTCTGACATACCTGTCCCAAACAACATCAACTCTAATGCAGTCTGTTCGATTCAGAATTGAAGTGAAGTTGTCGCAATGCATATCAGCCAAGTGTCCAAATGTGGAAGCAGCTCCCTTTCTGAACATTTGCAATTTTGCCATTCCATCAACTATATGAACTGGCAACATTCTCTCTTCTGCTAGTATAAGCAGCGAAGGACCAAAAGCTTCGTTTTAAAGTTCATTTAACAAACCGCTTTTGATGTTCTTTCTTAATGTTCCATCTGAATGAGCCATTGTAAAATGAACACTAGAAATGTCCATGTTCACATCAAGGTTGATGACAAATCCATTCAATCTTCCAAATGAATGATGTCTGCATCTTGTGAACATTGGAAGTGGAGTTGTTGTCCCAAAGGATATGATTCACAGCCTCTTGCATGTTAAACAGATTGGGGCAGAGTAAAGGGATAACTTCATAAGTAGTCGATTGAACTCTTCCAGGACAAACTTGTGGTCACCTTTACATCGACTGAACCTGAAAACCTTTTCTACATTGATTCCCAAAAAAAGGCTGTAAAGCCCAGGGGTGAGAAGCTTCACACAACAAATGGATAACAATTTGGATGTTCAAGAAACACTCATTACATATTGTGGCCAGTTTGTGAGTTCTATGCATGTACCAAATAATCCAGTGATGTCTGTAGATGACACAAAATATTGAATGAAAACCTCCCACCAACATCCAACTGTCTAAAACATCACATTGAACGAGTAAACTACCAAACAGTCTCTGCAACCAATCATGAATATTCTTTCACCAGTTGACCATGGTTGGAGCATTTGTGATGGTCAGCTTATCCCTATTCTGATGTCGAGAGATCCTGCTCCCCATGGATTGGTTGAACTGACATCGTGTAAATGCAAAAAGTCAGCATGCCAGCAGAAAGAATGATATAGTGTGCGCAGAGGCATGTCTTTTTGTATGGCAGATGATTGTTGCCTGAACACCTTTGACTTGTGGCCAGTAGATGACTCCGATTCTGACATAAGTGAGTGAGTGAGTTTAGTTTTACACCGCACTCAGCAATATTCCAGCTATATTGCGGTCTTCTGTAAACAATCGTGTCTGGACCAGTCAATCCAGGGATCAACAGCATGAACATCAATCTGCGCAATTGGGATACGATGACATGTGTCAACCCAGTCAGCGAGCCTGACAACCAGATCCCGTTAGTCGCCTCTTACGACAAGCATGGGTTATTGAAGGTCAATTCTAACCCGGATCTCTACAAGTCCGATTCTGACATGAAGTAACATATGAAATGAAAGAAAGTGAAAAGGAGGGTTAATTGCAAGCTTATGGATGCATCAAAAGTGATTAAGAGTTATCTGATAGAACAATTTGAATGCCTACAACTAAAGCTTATATGTAGTTATCGGCCATGAAGCATAGTTTTCAAACACTTTTGGCTAATGTTATTTGATCAAATATTTTAGGAGTGTGAAGCTTTGATTGACCCTATCATTGAAATTTAGCTCTATTCCTATACTGTATTAAACATTAGACACCAAATGATTTGTTTGGATTTCATATCAGTACAAATTTAGTCCTCCAATAAGTATATGTAGTTAAACTACAATGGCGGCCATTTTGGTGGCCATTTTGAATTCTGGGTAATATACAAAAATCCCTAATAATATGCCGTCACTCTAGAAGTTAAGAGAAAACAAAAACAACTTGTTTTAGGAACAAAAATAATGTTAACTGCCATTAAATAAATCACCCTCACACATTTCCATGAAAAGTCGGAGAATCGCTAAAATACCCCTGTCTCAAAGAATAATTTGTAAAACATTAAATTACCATGCTATGACCATACAAAATGACTTGTTTTGTGCCCAAGCCATCACTCTAGGAGAAATAAGTGTAAAAACACATCAAAAGTATCAACTTTGGATGTAAATGGAAACATTCGGTGTTCATTGTTATGTAAATTTAAGTGCTGAGAAGGCAAAACACGACAAAACAAAATTATTTTGATTTTTTTTTCAAAACAAAATTATGTCAAATAATTTCTACATCCTTTAGCAGTACACAGAGGTCAAAATGAAAGTGATCAGATTGATAGTAGTAAAACTATTAATGATTAACTTTGAGGTGTTGTCGGGCAGCAAACCAAATGTGACGAAAATGCTCGCAGACCCCCACCACATATAATGGCCTGTAAAAACACCATACTAACTGAAAATAGTGTCAAACAAAATCAGTACTGGGGAGGCTACGAAATCCTATTTCTAGGCCCCTTTTGAGATTCTCCTCCTGGACTACTGGTGGTGAGGTGAGGTGTCGTGTAGTGGTAATGGTGCGCTCTCACGATGTGATTTGTGGTTTCTTGTTGACTGTCGGAGGTGGGGTGTCATACAGTGGTGGTGTATAGTGTATTAGTGTTAATGCAGTCTCTCGCAGGGGTCCTGGTGCTGAGGTGAGATGTCGTGTAGTGGTGGTGGTGGTGTATAGTGTACTGGTGTTACTGCAGTCTCTCGCAGGGATGCTGGTGGTAAGATGAGGTGTCGTGTAGTGGTAATGGTGCACTCTCATGAAGTGATTTGTGGTTTCTTGTTGACTGTCGGAGGTGAGGTGTCATACAGTGGTGGTGTATAGTGTATTGGTGTTACTGCAGTCTCTCGCAGGGGTCCTGGTGCTGAGGTGAGGTGTCGTGTAGCGGTAATGGTTCACTGTCATAAAGTGATTTGTGGTTTCTTGTTGACTGTCGGAGGTGAGGTGTCATACAGTGGTGGTGGCGGTGTACTGAGTGGTAGTGGGGCGTCATATAGTGGTGGAGGTGTACTGAGCAATAGTGGGGCGTCATGCAGTGTCGGTGAACTGAGTGGTATTGGGGCGTCATATAGTGGTGGAGGTGTACTGAGTGGAAATGGGGCGTCATATAGTGCTGTTGGTGTACTGATTGGTAGTCGGACGTCATGATGTGTCGGTGTACCGAGTGGTAGTGGGGCGTAATATATAGTGGTGGTGTCAGTGTACTGAGTGGTAGTGGGGCGTCATGCAGTGGTGGTGCTGTACAGAGTGGTAGTTGGGCGTCATGCAGTGGTGGTGCTGTACAGAGTGGTAGTGGGGCGTCATGCAGTGGTGGTGCTGTACAGAGTGGTAGTTGGGCGTCATGCAGTGGTGGTGCTGTACAGAGTGGTAGTGGGGCGTCATGCAGTGGTGGTGCTGTACAGAGTGGTAGTTGGGCGTCATGCAGTGGTGGTGCTGTACAGAGTGGTAGTGGGGCGTCATGCAGTGTTGGTGTACTGTGTATACTGAGCGGTAGTGGGGCGTCATGCAGTGGTGGTGTCAGTGTACTGAGTGGTAGTTGGGCGTCATGCAGTGGTGGTGTCAGTGTACTGAGTGGTAGTTGGGCGTCATGCAGTGGTGGTGTCAGTGTACTGAGTGGTAGTTGGGCGTCATATAGTGTTGGTGTCAGTGTACTGAGTGGTAGTGGGGCGTCATATAGTGTTCGTGTCAGTGTACTGAGTGGTAGTGGAGCATCATGCAGTGATGGTGGTGTACTGAGTGATTGTGGAGCGTCATGCAGTAGTGTTGGTGTACTGTGTGTACTGCGAGGTATTGGGGCGTCATGCAATGGTGTTTTTGCACTGTGTGTACTGACTGGTAGTGGGGCGTGATGCAGGGATAGTGGTGTACTGAGTGTTAGTGGGGCGTCATGCAGTGGTGTCGGTGTACTGAGTGTTAGTGGGGCGTCATGCAATGGTGTTTTTGCACTGTGTGTACTGACTGGTAGTGGGGCGTGATGCAGGGGTAGTGGTGTACTGAGTGGTAGTGGGGAGTCATGCAG